AGCGCAAAGGAGTAGCCAGGGTGGATGGCGACCCCTGAGAGGAGATTGTCCTCGCGGTGAGCCGCCGTTTGGCCCACCAACGAGAAATTGGCTGCGAGAGATAGACCCGGTTACTGGGTTCTGGAAGAAATTGGATCAGGGAGTGCAGTGTTCGTGGACAGACTAGATGTGGTCAATTTATCCTTAAGCAAGAAAATTAAGCATACCTTGACTGACAAACTTCCTCAATTCACGAACGGAGTCCGGGTTATTCAGCCATTCCGCCATGCGCCGGTATGAACTCCGTCCCTTCTCTGTCAAGCGGTTCCAACTCTTAGGCTTCGAGAGCAGTTCACTTACTGTGCCCTGACTCAAATTGAGGACACGTTGCGCAAATACGCGTTGACCGATACCCCATCGATTCAGGGACCTTCGGACAGCAGCCGCGATTTTCGCTGGATCAAGATCAACAGAGGTAGCAAGATTTTCTGATGGGGTGCCTTCAGTGGGGACGGAATCGACAGGCGGATATCCGTCAGATAACTCACGTTCACCTAAAAGAAGCATAAATTACCGAAAATTAGGTATGGAAACGGAGAAAGACGTACCTTGGGTGGGAGCTCAAGTAACAGACATTAGTCTTAAAATCACATAAAGCCTTGGAGGAGAAAACGTTTTGGCAGCACAATTGCAGTCCTGCGTGAAACCTACGACTGTGGCATTTTTCCCTGTATGAGTGGGCGGCACAGCGCGTGACAACGACAAGCATTTACACAACAAATTTACGAGCAGACTTAGTTTCGAAAGAATTTCGGTGCACCCCTGAAAAATAAGCATGGCACTCCGGTTGTCACACCGCACCTCCAACTCCCCCCTGAAAACACAGCTGCGCAGACGCGAGAGGAAGAAGCGTACGGCAAGCGGCAGAGGCAACACACTTTCTGGTCAGTTAACAAAGAAAACTCGAAAAATACAAATTGTCAAAGCTACAGGTGTGAGCGGCAAATAATATGCTAAGAGTCAGTAGAATTGTCGAAACCGTCCATGTGACAACAATGTTTTCTCCCAGGTTGAAACAAGTAAGGCAGAAATCTAGAAACAGTTAGGCAGGAAATTTGCTATTGCTTCAGCAAAACTACGAAGATTTAATGACATTTTTCTGTCCGCATGATAACACGTCAATACACACTGGAGATAAAGCAGAGGGGCTTTGAGCCTCCATACTTTATGGCATAAAAGATAGTCGTCTGGAAGGCTGTCTTTGAAGAAGTCTGACGCAATGTTTTTGCGGAAGTCAAAAATGTATAAAAATGGGAGTTGGAGTTGATAAGTTGATAACAAAGACAAGAGTTGCCAAAAAATATACATTACTGAAGAAATGCCTTAAGATCTTTGATAATTACATATGTAGTCACCAACGAATAAACTAATGTTTTGAATTTTTATCAAATGTTACGTTCGATGGACGCTGTTCCTTGAGGCATTTTACTAGCGTAGGTTGCAAGCCTTATTGAATGGCATCCGTGATAACGCTGGTGTAGACAAACAGGTCCAAATGTGGAGACGAACATCAGACGTGAGCAGAGAGGTTGAAAGTTGTGCTCTCTTGATTTGCCACACGGCCCACGAAATATTTGAAAATGTAAATCGACACTCGGCATAAGTAACTGGGCTTACGCGTCCAATTTTTCTTAAATGCCTGCTGTCAAAAGACAATGGTTCACACATACCTCCTAGATACGGGTGAAGTTCCCCAGCAAATCAAAAGTACGGAGCAGACACATGTATTGTAATCCCTTACGTTCGCCATCAGAAAGATGTAAGACGATGACGGGAGCCAGTATACGTTGCGCGAGCTTCCCTTTTTCATCACAGCTTCTAAAATAAC